TTTTTTGGGTGGCTCAGTTACTAATTATGTTAATGCGGGCCAGATATTAAGTTAATGCTGCCAGATGATATGCTAATTCCGGTCAGATAGTTTTATTTTGGGATCATATTAAAATCCCGCGCGGGATTACGCGCGGATACCGCGCGTGCCCATTTCTAATTATGCATAACCATTATATCCTTAAATTATTTAAGGCATTGCTTTAAATTATTTGAGTACAATCGAGTAATTGTTCTGTACATTGGACCAATTAAATATAGGAAAATAGAGGTTCAACTTAAAATTTTATGTCTCTATCTGAGGCCCAATTCGGCCGATTCACAAATTATTTAGTTTATAAAAAATGCTTCATTGTAGAACTGGGATCGGCGAATATCCACGGTTAAAAATGAATATTCAAATATTCAGTTACACAAAGTTCGTGAATAGTCGAAGATTAGATTTATTAGATTTTTAATATTCGATGAATATTTAAATTCATGAATAGTTATGAATATTTTATTAATATTAGTTTGGAATTAATACTCAATGAATATCCGTTAATTCTTTTACAGGTATTTATTAATATCCGTATAAAATTTAGATATTCATTCAATACTACTCGTGGGTGATTAAAATCCGTGAATATTCATTGAATATTCACGAAGAATCCCAGCTCCACTTCATTGCTCCATTTCACGCCAAAGTTTACCATTCATCAATCCTAAACATTATGTTTTTTTTTTTATGAACACAAAGAATGTGAATAGTTAATATAATTATTAAATAGCGCATTAGTCGCAAAGATTACAGAATGAATGATGTAGTCGAAAGAATTGATATTAGAAGCTGTTACGGCTTAGTTACGGCATAAGTATAAAATTTTAATTTTAATTTGGGGAGAAAATTTAAACAACCTTTTTTAGAGATTTACTAGAATGGTTAGCTCCACTTGCCTTTCACATGCATTTGTAACCCATAACAATCTTTCAAACTCGCATGAATTGATGGTTTTGGAAGATTTGATACTGGCTACAGACGCTTGTAAGAGACAAGCGGTGCCTGTTGTCAATAATGCTTTACATATTAATCATACGTGCAGCTTTAGTTCAGATACATTTTATGAATGCTACTTCATACCTATTACAGTATTAAGAATACCGAATCTGTTCGGATCTTTTTTTGCTAATTTCCTAAAAATTTATTGCAAAAATAATTTCTGGAAGAAATCAGATTTTAAAATAATCGTTTCTAAATTACATTAGTGCTTCGATCCTATTCTTCAGGTGCTATTCGGATTAAATTCGGATTCTCCTTATTGTATTCGGATGGCAATCCGGATTCACTCGAGTAATGGTAACGGTAACATGTCTTTTTTTTTCAGTTGATTTTCTACTAATGAAAAAATGTTTAACGTTCTTAATTAATGTTAAGTTAATTCTGGGATAAGAAAAGAAATGACTGCTATTCTATGTGAAATGCTACTCTAACTTATCTGAACGTCCAGAACAATCGGTTTGATTTAGAAGGAATAAAGAACACTAGAGAAGTCTTCTTGTTTATTATTTACGGCCCAGTTAATTGATTAAATCAGCCAATAATATGAAGTTTTCCTAGAATTATGGCTTACGGATCTATCCTTAAAAATTAAACGGATACTATATCCAAAATTATTGAATCTATTCTAATTAGTCGGATTAAGAATCGAAACACTAATTTACCATTCCTTTACTGATACTTTCAAATTTGCAACTTTGATGCTACAAGTAATTAGCTATAAAATAACTATAAAGTAACTATATAGTTGCTTTATAGTATCAATAGTTTTATATTTACTATATGTTAGCAATACGCCTACTACTACTTACTACTATGTTACTACTATTTACTATATTTTACTATATTTTTACTACAATTTTACAAAATTTTTTTTTGTAAAATTAAAGTATAGTAAAATAGTAGTAAAATAGTAGTAACGCAGTAGTAAGTAGTAGTAGGCATATTGCTAATATATAGTAAATGTAAAATATAATTACTATAAACTATATAGTTAATACTTGTTATTTAATGGATATCCATGGATACGGGTATTTCATAGAATAATAGTAAAATCACGTGGCTGAAGGCCATGTGGTTTACTTTTATTCTATGAAATACCCCGTGTTCATGGATATTCATTAAATAACTAGATTATTTCATGAGTATGATGTACAACCCGTGCAACTATGTATTCAATTAAACTATTTTAATAAATTAGACTTTCTTATTTTAGTAATCAGTTTTAGATTGATCAATTTCTAACATTATTGATTTTTTTTTTGTAAAACAGTAAAATGGGTAAAAGAAATCATACTACTGCTTCTACTGAAGAAGATGTGCTTAAATTGCAACAAATCTCGCATGTGGAAAATACTGACAAGTGCACTTTAAAGTGGTTACTTTCAGTTGACAGATTTTGTGAAATTATTGGATATGATAAAGGTATCAAAAAAATTGATACAGCCATGGAATTAGATGGTTTTTTTTTGCAGGTTTCTTAACTGATTAAAATGTTTGGGTGACAAAGATTACAAAGCAGAAAGTGTTCACAATTGTTATGCATCTATAGCTCATTACCTAAAGGAAAACAGTGAAATCAAGCCATGTAAGTTATGGGATTTTAATCATTTTGAAAAGATGTCAAGAATGCTTGATGATAAGATGAAGAAACTTCAAAATGCAGGGCTAGAAAAAACAAAGCAAGCATCTGCATTAAGTGCTAAAAAAATTGTGCAAATTCTTGAACACAAAACAATGCAACTTGATACAAATAAAGGTTTGGTAATATGAGTATTCTTTTGACTATCACTTTTATATGGTTTGCATAGTGGCAATGCTGAAAGAATTAACTTTAAAGACATAATATATCATGATGATGGTAGATTTTTCCTGACATTTAATTATAAGAAGAATAATTAATGTAGAGCATTAAAGTGTAATAAATATAGGAAAAGTTCTGTGTAAAAGATTTCTATTTCTCCTGATGATGTTAATAATCATTTTAAACCCATACAAGATATATTGCATATGATATCATTACATCCTGTAGATGCTTGTATATCACTTTTTCTATAGACTACACAATCAACAAAAGGTTTAAATTGTTTATGGTTTTGAGTTTTTTTATTTATATATAATATTTGTTACTAACAATTTTTTTTTTTGCTAGATTTAAATAAAGAAATTTGGTTTAAAAAAACTTAGATGGGCATGAATAAATTGAACATGATAATAGCAAAAATTGCAGAACTTATAGAAATTAACCTAGAAGAGATGTCATTAAAAGCATTGCTAGAACCACCAGAAGAAGCACCACAACTAGAAGCACTACTGAGATTATCTTCAGAACCATCACCAAGACAATCGTCAAGGCTTTTGTCAAAAAAAAAACAGCAAAATCATCATATACATTAAAATTATATGCACTATTCAAATCACTTTTTTTAAAAAAAGTATTGAATCTTCACAAGTTCCCCAAACACCACAAATTACCCAAGTTCTCCAGATGCCACAACCTTTATGCATTCCTATACTTTTATCATCAAGACCTTCTGCAGATCCAAGATCACATTTGGGTGATATTTCTAATCACATTACAACTGTAACTTATGAAGATATTAGAAATTTAATGATAGTAGGATGGGTGAAAAAGAAGTTCACTACCACTTCCATTATCATTTTTTAAAAAAATGTCTTTTTTTTAAAAAGAATGTATTTTTTATTTGAATTAAAATAAATAAAGCATTGCATATATTACAATTCTAAAAAATTGGCCTCATAAAATACTTACTACAAGGTTATTTACACCGGTCTGTATGAAATCACGATTTTCATATAGACCGGTGAAAATAACCTAGAAGAAAAAGCACGGGTTGTTACATAGTACCCATGGAATAATTTATAGTTACTTTATAGCTAATTACAAGTTTCAGTAAAGTAATAGTCATAATTGGTCTCATGACCTCAATTAGCCCTGCGACACTAGCGCTAGCTGTACTGTACATACGTATGTACTGTACATAACTTAGAAATCTGGTAGAATCGTATCTAGGGCTGTTAATCAGTCCGTCCTGTCCGTCTTGGTCCAAAGACTGGCAGTCTTTTAAAAAGTTAGACCGGACTGTGGTCCAGGACTGATTAGGACCGATCAGTATGAGACTGGACGGATTGCTCGTATATACTTCATATTTTATAACAAAAAATTAGGCTATATATGTTCGTTACAATAATTTAATCCTAACTATATTAGGACCGATAGTCTTTTTGGTCCATCCTATAAAAGACCAGACTGGCCCAGTCCTAAGACGGGCCGCAGGACCGGCGGCTTTAGTCAGACCGATTAACAGCCCTAATCGTATCCTTATCTTTTCGATTTTTATTGGTTTAGATAGAACCCAAATATACATCTCACAATGACTGTCAATTGTACCAAATTTTCTCGTACTCCAGATACTCAGCTTCTAGACGTTGGAACCGGGTTTAATAATTAGGGTTTATCATGTGAATTTTGTGATATTTTAGAATGTTTTATTGGAATTTAATTGGATTAAATTCTAAAATATCACAAAATACACTTGATAAACTCTAATTATCGTGCAAACTCTTATGATCATAGATTTTTTTCTTGTTGTTTTTTGAATCCCGAATTAAAACTCAGTTAGCCAACCACGACTCGTAAATCATGATCATAATTGCACGATAACATCGATATTGG